GTAAGTAACTAAGTTTCCTAAATATTTGTGTAGCAAACAAGTGTAAGCTTACACGACACTAGACATGTTGTCTATAACTTTCTGTGTGTTTCCTTTACGTGTTATCTCCGTCGTACACGCCTGTGTTGTCGAACCAATTTGAACATTGGTTTTACTGATCAATATAATACCAGAAAACATATATTGGTTTTAATATTGAATTTTAGTGTGATTAAATCTTTTATATTACATAGTTTTTTATTTGAATCAATGGGTGAATGTTTTTCATAGCAAAATACCCTTAATGTGTTTCTAATTTTATTGTAATATGTAAAAAGGTGAAACGGCACAATAAGTAATACGATGTATAGAACTAATGTTGAGAGGTGGGTTCATATAATATAATAATGGGGCTATCTATTATCAGGGCTCTAAAATTGAGTTTAAATATCTTCACAAAATAATGGAACAGGATCTTTATTAACCCTCGCATTTCTTTCGGAACGACATAGGCTATTGTTAAAGTGAACATTTAGCAAATTCCCCTACATTATGTACCACCAGACATCCCATCTATATGGATCAGCTGACGCCAATTTTTTACTAAAAAAGAATGTAGTTTTGTGAGCCAGTCACAGATTGCGCTAGTGTCTAAAACTCTATTTTGTACCTTATTTCTTGTTACTGACATAGTTGCTGGGTCACAACAGTTGCTATAGCTCATAATAAGCTATTCCATCAGTTTGGCTTGGTAAACACCATCATGTAATCGGCAGAAATCAGTAATTTAGATCAGCGCAATCTGTAGGTGGCTCACATCAACTAAGACAAATTTTATTAAAAACGACTTTAACATGGGGATGGAATGTCTAGGTACCACATAAATGTGTGCAAGGTCAAATTATACATAACCTATTACAGAAAGTGTAATAATGTTTACCAATATAATTCTTGATGAATTTTAATGGGATTCTTTAGTTATGTTCTTAAGCTGACAACAGCTGCAAAGTGATATTTATAATTAAATAAATACAGTAAATAAAAAATGAAAAAAATTAATAGATTCCAATTAATAATATGGCTTAATTTAGTAACCTATAAGACGCCTTAAAATAATAGCTGAATAGTGATAAATAATTCGTACAAATTGACGAAATAAGTTATTCTGACTGTCAGTAGCTAACGAGGTACTTCACTGAGAATAATTTTGATATTACTTAGTATCGTTTCGTGGCCAAGAAACGCTATTTTGAAAGAAAATAAACGAACGTTATACGTTTAGTGGACGGTTAACTATCCGAATATGTTTTGGTTCGTCTAGAGTTGTCAATCAATCAATCAGTCAATCAATTATTTAAGATGGGGACGCCACTATGTGCGTATTTTAACCCAAATATGAGAGAAGGATGAGTGTAGGATGAGTGGCACGATATTGTAGTCTTGTTAGTGACTAAGGCCAACATATTCCTTAGACACAGTTGTTAATTATTAGCTTAAACAGCTATTGGCAACTAAGGGACCTACAGTTTAAAGTCTTTGGAGCGGAGGAGGTTTGGCATTAAATTAGAATTAAATTAATTGTTTATGAGGTGTCATCCTTCTTTATTATTATCGTTAATAGCCTGGAAGTATATTTTTATTACTTTTCTTGAAATTCTCAAACATAACTTTGTGGTATGCGTTGGTATTGCTAAAATATAATTTAACAAATCCTGCCAATCTCGTCAATAAAAGAAATGCAGATGTAATCATATAGTTCAACTCACATCTGTATTGATTATAAATACAGGATTATGTTTATTGAGAGTAGCAGATATCATAAAAACAAAAGTACATTTTTGTATTGCAACGTTTTTCAGGGTATTTCTCAAACAAATTGAATTGTTATAAGACACACGTTTAAATTGAAGATTTGGTTCCCACCAATAACTCTTAAGTTTTGAGAAAATTCTGATAAAACTCGTATTTTATGACAATAAGTAATTTGTGTGAGTTACCAATTACGCCTAACCCAACATCAATAATGAAACTCATATGTGTATTATGGAACTTGGCAACAATAATTAATTTGGCATTGGAGACGTTTGTTTGCATTATGCATTATTGTGTTTCAGCGGGGTCAACATGCAAACCATATGTGCCCATTTGATTTGTGTAAACTATCAAATATTTATGTTTTCCAAAAAATCTATTTAGTTTTGTTCATATAATGCAAGTAGGCCTTGAACAGTTGTATATAATAATCTAGGCTAGGCGTTGATGGTTTTGTGAGTTTCACATTCCGAAGCTATTTATGATTAGCGGACTCTAAACATTGGGAACGGAAGGTCCACGTTCTACCTTTAAATCAGCTCTTTCTTCAGACTTTAATAATTCGTAATCAATTTATTAAAGTTTATAAAAATTTTACTTTATTACTTTAATACTTAAAAGTATTACTTAGTATTATTTTTTTTAAATTTACTTTATTAAAATCACGTAAGTGTGCTTGTATGCAGCACACAAACTTATAGGTTATTGGCGCATGTTTGACTTTCAGTTACTACACTCACATAGCTATAAGAAAATCTTTTCAAAGATGAAAATTTAATTATATGGTGATTGTGTGTTTTCACAATTCCATTAAATATATTTAAAATAACATTTATAATTTTAGTATGATACTAATTACGGTGTTATCCGCTTTCCTTAGAATATAATTTTTGGATTACAAATTAATTTAGTAGTATTTAATACACAAATAAACTAAATTACATTCGATTCCTTTGGGGCAGAAGTTAAGAATGATAATGGTTAAAGAATGGAACTATCGATAATCAAATCAAAGTTGTATATACACTAGAGATTTGCTCACAAAGAAGAATGAAATAATTCTAGCTGCATTTACTGTCGCTACATAATAGGCTCTATTATGCCACTTGCAGTGCCGCGCTTAGTTCGATACTCGGCTCACACCTTTCGACCGCAGACTATGACAGCCTTCTCAGATCGTATATACCAAAGGAGGCCGGTTTAGCTGGGTACGCCGAGAACGTCGCAGTGTAAATCACCACAGCAACGTTAAAGTCAATGTGCAAATGGAATTTAAACGAGGTGATGCGCACAGTAAGTGCCTCGATGGCCAATCACTGGCCAGGGTTTGTCGCACACTTTGAGCAACAACAAAATATCCTTACAACATGATGGATCAACTCCATAGTTCCGCTATGCGTAGGAAAAACTCTTCTCCAAACCACGCGAACCACAAATTACCTCGGTGGGCAGGATGTCAGGACCAGATCTTCCTTACGGTGGGCAGGTCTGAGAGGAGTTTCGCTGTGTGAGCTTATGTCCAATGTCGGGGGTCTTTGGGCCAGCTGGAGAAAAACCTTGATGTATACAGTTCAGTCCGTTTTAGGCTCTTAGATGTTTAAGATCTTAACCCCGCATCTGTCACTATAATTCTTAAAAATACAATCAATCGGTCTATTAACAGCACTAGTTTGATAAAAAAGTCTTTATATTACAAGCAGTGTACCTTTTCCTTCCGGAATCAACAAGTAAATAATAACAAGTTTTATTTTACACAATTAATCCCAAATACACTAGACACACGATTCCAGCATGGAAAAGCCTGGATCCGGGCAGATAATGTTAATGTTCCTTCCAGGCCGTGACGAGTTGACGATCCGATGTGGCGTGAAAGAAGGCTAAGCAAACTCGGCCTAGTTCTAAAAAAATGCGATCATGTTTCCCAGGCTAATAAAAGAAAAGTTGTGGAGACATTTGGCTGTTTTTTACGGTAGAAGGAGTATTACACTATGTTGGCCACCTGTGTACGTAAGATTATTTTTTCGCCTCTTTAAAAAAGGTCCTACTAATAAGGGCTAAGGTTACTAACTTATTAAGGAGTAGTAGGCCTCATTTAACTACTCCATAAATTGTCAGCCATTATTTATAGCGTGATTACTATCGGGCAAGATAGGATTAATAAATTTTTTCGTACTTTGGCACTATAATAGTACATGCAATTGTAATTTATAAGTATTATGCGTTTTAAAATATTCTAAAGATCATTAGTCAATACAAGTCAAGACTATAAGATTACATATCATTGTAAGCTTGGCTGCTTTAAGAAACGTATGAAGCCAAAAAGTATATTTCGTAACAAGTGTAGAAAGTGGGTTATTACATATAAGACCAAATTTGAAGTGCGAGATTTATCTAGCACTTTAATGTGTCTAGAATATGTATAAACCCATTTTCACTAGTGTTTTAACGTTACTTTAAGCTACGATACAAAGATTAATTATTTTCTTATTTAAAACAGACATTGGCAATTTCTTTATAACAGCTATGAACATTACAGAAATCATAGCATTCTTAAGGTTATACATTCAATTTAAAGTTATATTTACTTGGGTTGTAGAGTTTTGCTGTTGAAAATGGAACAGTTGACAAAACACCAATAAGTCAATGCACTGCCTATAGATTGACGTGTCAATCCCAATGCAGGACAATATAACTGACCAAATGTTTTCAATCGCGATAAAACCAGTCGTTGTTCCCATACTGCGCTTTAACTCTTGTTTTTGGCATTTTGTTAAACAAACGTTTCTTTCAAACATCGTTGATAGTTTTAACAACCTTCATAGAGAGTTTGAAACAACTATAAGCACGACCGAATAAATAAATAATCATTATGAAAAAGTATACATAGTATAATAATAAGTAGCAAATTAAGTCGTATTATAAAGTAAATTGCCCGTTTTGACGCAGTTTATGTTTATAATTTCAAAACTATTTTCACTTTGAAATATCTTTTGCCTATTCAATATTGGTTTTGGTTCTATGAAATTGGTGCTATGAGGTCAAAACTATCGTAAAGCATGTACAATGATTCAGTCGTTATCTAGCAGTCGATGAGGAAGGACCTTGTTATCAGATAACCCACTCGCTCGCCCGATCCTGCGTGCCTAGCTACTAACCATTAGACGTTTAGTTAACATTTGCAATTTACTTAACAAAACTTTATTTCGGACATGGCGGAAAAGTGTTATAAGTGCAACGTGGAGTGCGACAAGACTTCGTCCGACGTACTATCGTGCGTGGAGTGCAGTGACGTGTTGCACGTGCAGTGTGCGGGACTTGACATGAAGAGGAAGACCCGTAACCGTCCGTTCAAGTGTGGCAAGTGTAATAAGGAGACAGCATCAATGTCAAGTGTAAGTGATACCGAAGACTCTACTGTTATTAAAGCAATTAACAGCCTACACACCAAATTTAGTGACACGCTTGATCAGAAACTTTGTAGTTTGGAAGGAAAAATTAATGACTCAATTAGTGGGAAACTTGACAAAATTAATGAACGTATAAATACGTGGCAAGAAACAATTGCAGCATCGTTAGACGGCCTAAAATCAGAAAATGTCGTTCTGAAACAAGATTGTGATGTACTCAAAACACGTTGCGACGACCTGTCTAAACAAGTAGACTCATTGACGGAGCAGCTACAAGACCTACAGCAGTACAGCCGGATTGACAACCTTGAGATCGTCGGAGTGCCCTTGACCAAGAATGAAGATGTGTATGCCGTCCTAAAGGCAGTGGCTAACACCATTGGTACGCCCTGGAAGTATGAGGACATTTCAATAGCGCATCGGGTGCCTTCAACCCGCCAGAGATATCCTAACATTATTGTTAAATTTACCCGAAGAGTTTCCAAGACGACGTGGCTTCTTGCGGCTAAGGAAATTGACCTAACCGCCAAAATGTTGCACCAGAGCTTCCCCGACACACCAATATTTATCAACGAACATCTCACAGGCCATGCCAAAGAAACTCTAAACTGCGCCAAAAAGCTCGTTAAGGAGAAGAAGCTAGCTTATGCATGGGTCAAAGAAGGCAAGATCCTGGTGAGGAAGACAGCAGATGGGAAACCAGCGCGTGCGAGGAGTCCGGAGGACGTCAAGGCGATAGCGGCTCAACCCACGGCTCAACCAACTGCTCAGTCAACGGCTCAGCGACGGCTCAGCGAAGGTGGCAATCAGCGCGGCAACAACGGCTCCAACACCGACAAGGTTTCACCGTAAACACTACACAGTTATGTGTTAATTGTGCCCTCAACTAATAAGGTACACAGCTCAGTATTTTTATTTGTTTTTTACCATTTTATAATTTTGTTGTTTCACTTGTAGGTAAATTCTTTTAAATTAATTGTATTATTTGCTTCATGAGTTCATAAGTCACTTGTATGTAATTTATTTAATCAAGCTATAGATGCAAAACAATTTTTGTCTGTAAATCCAATAATATGTTTTAAATTTCTAAATAAAAGAAACTAGACTATAAACTTAACACCCTTTTTGATTAATGTTGGGCTTAGTAACGTCCTTTGATAGAAAATGTCGATTTAGGTAACAAAACATTATACAGTAAATTTGATATTATAAAATTCATATTTTTCATAAAGCAAAACTCAATTTTTATCACCATAAACAAAATGTAATACTGACCACGACATTAGTTATTACTATCATTATTATTTTATTTATGAAAGTATGTAATGTAATTGTTTTATGTATGACATTGATAACTGGAGTGAAACACGTTTATTTTCTTAATTACCAGAATATTGTTAGATTATAAATTATTTTAATGTAGTAAAAGTATATAGGTCAAATGTCAACATCTCATATTTTATCGTCCAATGGTTCATTTATCAATTTATTATTAGCAAAGAATGTTTGTTCTTTATCGAAAAAAAAATTGCAATAACTTTATCAATTGATATTTTGTTGTCTTTTGAAACACATTCTTGGACAAATTACAAGGTTTTCCTAGTTAGTTAAATGCTACTTAATAACTAATATTTTAATTCCAATATTTTAACAAAACCACTCAGGGTGAAATTCAAGTTTTATGTCTAATAATTATCTTAACTCTATTCTAAGCAAAATATATCGAACGTTTAGGGGTTATTGATTTTTTCATGTCTTAAGATAAAGTGTAAATACTATTGTTCTTAATTTTTAATAGGTTTAATTAAAATACAGAATATTTTATTGTAGCGGCTGCATGTTCCGTTCAGTGGGTTGTCTGTATTGTTTTGTTTTTTTCTCAGAAATTTGAGATATATCTTTTATTTACCTTTAGCTCTAATAAATAGTTTTTTTATTATTTTTATTCATGGAAGATATTAATGTCTATAGTGATAACTACAGGCAAATTGAATGTTCCACAGTAGATTTCTTAAATTATATAGGATTAGTTTTTAGTAAGAATAAAAGCTTTTTAAATATTTTTTATATGAATATTCGAAGTTACAATAAGAATTTTGAGTTGCTTCTTGTCTTGTTGCAATCAGTAGTTTTAAAGTTTGATATTATTGCGCTGGGGGAAACATGGTATGGGGGTGTTGGGGAGGGGCTACATTTAGAGGGGTATAAACTGTATCGCACAACTAAAGGGAAAAATCAAAATGATGGGGTTTTGATGTATGTGAGTGAGAGAGTGAATGTGTGTGAATGTAAGGAACTGGAGCTGGGAGACGTTTACGGGTTGACCTTAGACTTTGTTTATCAAGATAAGCGGTGTAATCTGCTATCTGTGTACAGGACTCACGACAGTGATCTTGACAACTTTACTACCGCTCTCGAAAAATACTACGAAAATAAAACCAATAACAATACCTATTTTTTAATAGGTGACATCAATGCAAATCTACTGGAAACTGACAACAAGACAGAGCGTTATTTGGATGTCTTATATGAATGTGGTTTCATGAATGGTATAAATGTACCGACTAGAGAGGTAGGGGATAGTAAGACATCCATTGACCACATTTTTATAAGTCACCACGACTTTACTGCACTACGAACTGCTGTTGCGAAGACTGAGATTACTGACCATTACAGCGTTTGTCTACAGATTAACTTCTCGAACAGAACAGAACGTACATCACACGAACTGTACACCTGCATAGACAAAAATAAACTCAGTACACACATAAAGGACTGTGACTGGACAGACATTGTACAGGAAAATGACACCAATACATGTTCTAATCTCATGATTTCAAAAATCCAAGATCTGGTTAGTAAGTCAACAAAAACATTAAAAAAGCCAAATTCCAAACTCAGGAAATTAAAGCCTTGGATAACACATGACTTGGTTATAAAAATTAGGGATAGAGATAAACTTAGTAAACAGATAAAAAAACAACCCTTTAATACAATTTTAATCAATAATTTCAAAAGGCTAAAAAATGAACTTAACAAAAATATTAGAGAAACCAAAAATAAATATTATAGGGAAAAGATTTTGGGGTATAAAGATAATCCTAAAAAGTTTTGGAGTGTTTTAAATGAATTGGCGGGTAGATGCACCAAACATGACATTTTCCCACTATCTCAATATACTCTGAACAAACCATACGCACACACCGACACTGATTTGAGACCACTGGTGGCCAACGAATTCAATGTCTATTTTACCCAAGTTGGGTCAAACATGGCAGCTAGAATTGACTCGAGTGGTCCACCTGTGGTACACGACTCTGACTATGCTGTTGACTCCGTCCTCACACTGCAAACTGTTACTGAACATGAACTGCACGGCTACGTCACCAGACTGAGAGGAGGCTCAGCTCCAGGGTATGATTGTGTATCAGCTGATTTACTCAAGGAAAACTGGGAATCAATAAAACAACCACTTTTACACATCACAAACATGAGTATCCGGAGTGGAGTTTACCCTGACGCTTACAAAATCGCCAAGGTTGTTCCTCTATTCAAGTCGGGAGACTGCTCTGAGACTTCGAACTTTAGGCCGATCTCCTTGCTGAGTGTGTTAACCAAGGTATTGGAAAAAATCATTAAAGACCAGTTAACTAATTATTTAAATAATTACAATATTTTAACATCACGTCAATTTGGATTCAGGAAATCAAAAAATATTTCTGACGCTTTGTTTGAAGTTAACAAAGATATCAATTTAGCAGTTAATAAAGGTAATAAAGTTGTACTAGTATTTTTCGATTTAGCAAAAGCATTCGACTCTGTTGACAGATCAATACTTTTAAAAAAACTGGAGTTAGTTGGGATTAAAAACATTTCATTGAACTGGTTTGAATCGTATTTTTCTGAAAGAAAGCAATTCGTTGTCATAAACGGAGTTCAGAGCAATTTAGCTGAAGTGGACTATGGTGTGGTTCAAGGAAGTACCCTTGGTCCTTTATTATTTTTAATATACATAAATAATCTAGTGAAAATCAACATTGAAGGGAAGTTCTACCTCTTTGCAGATGACACTTTAGTATTGTTCGAAGGTAGAGATTGGGAGACTGTTTTCAACCTCGCCGAAAGAGGTATTTCAAAAATAAAAAAATGGTTTGATCAAAATGTTTTGACACTTAATGTAGATAAAACCAAATTCATGCCAATCACTTTTAGTCATCGTGGTGACACACTCATCAATGAGTTAAAAATTCATTCTTGTCCAAATTTTGATCCGGCTTGTGACTGTCCAGTGATAGATAGAGTGCAAAAATATAAATACCTTGGCGTAATTATTGATTATAAACTTTCATGGGCAGATCACGTATCATATCTAAACAATAAACTAAGAAAATATATATATGCTTTTAATCAGTTAAGACAGGTTTTGGAATTTGAGGAAATCAGAATTGCATATTTTTCTTACGTGCAGTCTTTGCTTGACGGAGGAATAATAGCCTGGGGCTGTGCATATAGTTATATTTTAAAGCCGTTATTAACCACCCAAAAAGCTATAATTAAAGCAGCCTTAGGCAGGTGTCGGCGCTACCCTTCGGATGCTCTCTTCAATGAAATGAACGTTCTCGACATCAGACAGTTGTTCATCCGAACCATGACTATTTACATATTCAAACACTTTAATGACATTTTTGAAAGAGTAGCACACGAATACAGAACCAGACATGCACTAGGTGGAGGAATTTGCTTACCGAGACTAAATAGAACTTACTCTACGACGAATTGTTACTATGTTGCTCACATTATCTACAACAATCTGCCTCACAACTTACGGGAAAACTATTTTGGATCACTAGTTAAATACAAAAAACAAATTACATTATGGCTACAAAGTATGGAGAGATCAGCTGCTCAAAATGTAATGATCTCAACCTACAGACAATGACCAACTTACAGACAGACAACTAAACTCACATCAGCTGATAAGGTGAAAGAACGATTGAATGTCAGCGTAAACGTTGCGCGCGTCTTTGTGAGCGTGTGTGTGTGTGTGTGTGTGTGTGTGTGTGTGTGTGTGTGTGTGTGTGTGTGTGTGTGTGCGTGTGTGCAGTTCTCGATTCTGTGCCACAGGGACATAGCATTGACGGCCCTAGTACCCTAGGGCTACCAGCCGCTTGTTGGTGTTGGGACCTAGGAGGATTAAACATTAAGGAGAGGGCACTCGAATAGGAATACACATGTTGCGGTGAAGCCAGCTTTAGCAGAACACTAGAGGGGCACGCGGAGCCGTAGAGTGGCAAAAAGCCGCTGCTATAACATGGGAGAGATAGGGAAAAACGCGACGCGCGCTGTTTCGAATTAAAATTGCCGCTAAACTAAAACACCTGTGTTATTCACCGATGGCATTCTTAAAGTAAATTAAATTTCCTATCGAACGGTGTCAATCATTCATATAAAAACTATTATTTATTATTTATTATTTATTATTGAAGATCAAAGTTGAAAGAATTGGCCTGGACTTTGAGTATTGTTGTAAAATGTGGCAATAACGCCTCTCTTACACTCTCGGCAGTCTACTGTCCTCCACCTCATGCAATAAGTAAGGATCAATTTAGAGACTTTTTCTCAACACTTGGGCCAACATTTATTGCGGGTGGGGACTATAATGCTAAACACACACACTGGGGCTCAAGACTAGTAACTCCAAGAGGCAGAACTCTTTACAGAGCTATAACAGAAATGAATTTGGATTGTGTATCTTCAGGTTTACCTACTTACTGGCCAACTGACCGAAATAAAATACCGGACCTACTGGACTTTTTTGTAGTTAAAGGTATACAATTGAACTACACGAATAT